TCTATGAAAAACCAATAGCCAACATCATACTAAATGGCCAAAAACTGAAAACTTTTATGCTAAAATCAGGAACGAGACAAGGATGCCCACTATCACCACTCCTGTTCAATACAGTTCTGGAAACATTAGCCATAGCAATTAGAAGAGGGAAAGACATAAAAGGAATAAAGATAGGAAAAGAAGAAGTTAAACTGTCATTATTTGCTGATGATATGATACTTTACATAGAAGACCCAAAAACCTCCGCCAGAAGACTTCTAGACTTAATTGACAGATTCAGTAGCGTAGCTGGATACAAGGTCAACACTCAAAAAACAATAGCCTTGTACACAAATAACAGACTCACTGAGAGAGAAATTAGGGAAACAATTCCTTTTATAATAGCATCCAAAAAATGAAATATCTAGGAATCAATCTAACAAAGGAAGCAAAAGACCTCTACACTGAAAACTACAGGACTCTGAAAAGAGATCGAAGAGGATACAAGAAAATGGAAAGACATACCTTGCTCCTGGGTGGAAGAACCAGTATAGCCATACTTCCAAAACTACTATATAGATTCAATGCAATGCCAATTGAAATTCCAGCAATATACTTCACAGAACTAGAGAAAACAATCCAAAAATTCATTTGGAACCATAAGAGACCTAGAATAGCTAAAGCAATTCTAAGCAACAGAGACATGGCTGCGGTATCACAATCCCCAACTTGAAACTATACTACAAAGCTACTGTGAGAAAATCAGCATGGTACTGGCAAAGGAACAGACCTGAGAATCAGTGGAATAGATTAGAAGATGCAGAAACAGCTGCAGACATGCTCGGCCACCTCATCTTTGACAAAGGAGCCAACCACCCTCATTGGAGGAAAGATAGCCTATTTAATAAATGGTGTTGGAAAAACTAGATTTCAAACTGCCAAAGATTAAAACTAGACCCATACCTATCACCATGCACTAAACTAAGATCGAAGTGGATTTAAGATATAAAATATTAAGACAGAAACACTAAGCTTTCTGGAAGATAAGTTAGGTAGAACTCTTGAAGACATTGGC